AGAGTGTTTTTTGAAAACACTTTTGTTTTATTTCACATATTAGGGAATTGTTGCTTTCAAGCAATCATTTTCACTTTTAATTAATTGTCCAAATTTAAGGATAAGAAACAATACTCTTTTAAAACATGGTGTGGAAAATAATTTCCACATTTCAAAATATCCTATAATCCAAAATATAAATATCGGATGTGTAAACATGCAATGAATCGATAGTTCCTACGGGTGGAAAAAAAACCCAACAATCGAATTGAGAACTTGGGTCCATTTGTTTAATTATTTTTCCTTATCCTATTAATACTATTTCTAAAATACACTATTTCTAAAATACACGTTTGTTTCTATATTCTGAAAATACTATTATATTTTATTTAATTATTTTAAACCCTCTAAGTTTATTAATTTAACTAAACACCCTCTAAAAAAAAGTTTAGAAATTAACAAAAATACCCCCATCCACTCATATTTGCCAGATTTCGGCCACTACCGTCAGAAGGTGGTCAGAACCTGGTATAATGACGCACTATCAACTAGATCTGACCGTTAGTGTGTTAATCTATCATTTACTGACCAAATCTGGCCGTTGATGGCAAAATCTACTCCCATAGCTGGTCTTCAACGACGATCAAGACATGGCCGTTGTTGACCATCAACGACGGCCATATCTTTGGCCATTATTGACCATCAACGACGGCCATATCTTTGACCGTTGTTAACGACCAAACACAGTTAGATCTAGCATTTTTGTACCAGATCCAACATTATTTGAAATATATTATAATCCAAAATATAAATATTGGATGTGTAAACTTGCAATGAATCGATAGTTCCTGAAAACATTATTTGAAATATATTATCCATGTTTAAAATGTTTTTAAATCCAAACTGCAAATATCTTCTAATAAAATTAAAAAAAAAAAAAAAAAAAAATGTTGTATCAGTGACATGTAATGTGTTATACTTTTAATATTAAAATTATTACAACTTGACGTGTAAATATTTACGATAATATTACACTATCGCAATCATTCATACAATGTTAATTTTTTTTTTTTAATTTTAAATTAAAATATATTTTCCTTGTGATTTTGAGAATTAGATTGCATGAGAGAGTGGAATTAATTAAGTTAATTTCATTTCACTAATATCAATAAACTTTATCATAAATGCATAAATTTGTTGATTAATTATAAAATTTAGGAGATTTAGCTTTCTTGTGTTTGGGCTTGGGCTTGGATCCAATTCAACAATTTGGGCCATATTCAGATAGCTTAAAAAGATGGGCTCGGGTCGTTTTGGGTCGACCCAATTCAAGAATTGTTTTTGATTGAGTGAATAGATGCATACTTAATCTAGTTATAAAAATAATAGATGAAATAAAATAAAGATTGAAATTTGGAATTCTTCTTTCTGAAAATCAAGTAAGAATTGAATATATATATATAATTTTTTTTTTTTACGAGCGTTTAATTGTGACTGATGAAGCTAAATTTTCATAAAATTATCATCATCCCTACATCAAACAAGTAAAATGGACGTACAATTTAGACGTGACAAAATGGTAGTGAGTAAAAGGAGTGGGACGAGGTAGCTAGGTATTAAGTTTGTGGTCATCCTTACTTCTTAGATGTGATTACAAAATTTGTTGCATTTCTCACTCTTAAGAAACGGGATAGATTGATGGTCCATTCCCCCCACAAGTGATATTGAGTTCTCATTAACTGTCTATTATCTCATTTTCTACATTAAATACGTAGAAGAAATGTCATCGGAATTAAACGTGATTGGAGGGACTTGTATCTCAGGGTCAAGTACCGATTAAAATAGGTAACATCACTTAATAGATCGCCTAATCTTTTGGTTTTGAATTTCTATCATATTTGAGCGTTTGGATTATATAATACTTTATTAATAGAATAAAATATCACCTTAAAAATTATTGAGAATGTTTAGAAAATGTGTTTGGTGGGTTCGAATAAACTGATGAATAATATATTTGGTTGGAAAGATAAATTGGTGAGTATGTTATATAGATCACTAAATTGCTCACCTTTTTAAATATTAATATGACAATATTTTTTATTATTATTTTTTTAACCTTCTACTTTTCAGATTTAGCAAAAACACCCTAGTGACCAAAAACGTTTTAAACTTAACAAAAACACCTCTACCTATCCCAAGTCACTGTTGACAGTGCCACAAATCTGGCCATGACGTCGACAGTGCCATATATCTGGTATTTCACGACTACATCAGTCGCCGTTTCATAGCCACATTCTTGCCCGTGAAACGACCATAGATCTAGCTGTGATCCATTGTTTAAAAAAGCTTCACCAGCGCATTACTGGTCATACACGGCCAGTCGTACACCATTATCGTGACTTTTGGCAGCCTCCAGCGGTGATCAACGGTGGGTGGCTAGTTCTTGGTACAATCACATTTCTGTAAATAATGACAATAACAAGAGCAACGTCGTCCGAAAAATTTAAAAAGTGAGGACAAAAGTGTCTGCATAAGTGATTGGGTATTTTGTAAAGATCAACAAATACAAGGTTAATTTGAACCAAACGCTTAACTGTTTAGGGGCTACATGGAACAAAATATTGTAATACTAGGGTAAGTTTTAATAACAGGCTCCCCTCAAGTATTAAGATTGCCGAAAATATACCCCCCAAATGCTACTGTTTGTCATAAAATATTATGAGAATAATTTTTTACAAATCAACCAAATATCGTCATCTGCTTAATTTAAAAAATATTACCCCAGTTATCTAATATTAACCCGATCCAAACAGCCCCATCATATAAGAATTTAGTACTTAGATAAAATGATTAGTCATTATCATGATTACTTAGCACCTAAACATTAGAGTTGCATGAAGTATTTAACAAAACATTTATTATACCCATTCATGAGTAGCCCAATGGTAAGGACGAAACAAGAGAGTTGTACATAACTTTAACCTACAATCCCAGGTTTGATTCTCCCGTTGGACGCAAAGCTAATACTTTTGTCCATGATTTACCTAGGAAGCCGCAATGGTGGATTGCTGTGGGATAACTTTCCTGAGGATTAGTCAAGATACATGTTAAAAAAAGAATAGTTATTATATTATTAACTAAAGAAAACCCCATAATACTAAAATATTTTTTTTTTCCATATGAAAAACTATAAATTTTTGTATTTTATGTGTAACCAATGCTTGTAAACTAGAGTCTAAAATTAAAAAAAAAAAAAAATTATATATATATGTGTGTGTATATATATATATATTATTTTTCTATATATTAATATATTTTCGAAATGGTGATATAAAATCATAAGAAAAGTAATTCATATTTTTGATATTTAATTATCGTCATTTAAATTATCACAACGATTATAAAGTCTTTTAAATTAAAATATAATGTTACAGATCTCAAAAATTAAACAAAATTCTCATTGCAAGTAATGTTTCATTTATTTTTTTTATCATCAAAGAAAGTCTTCTTCACATTTCTGTTGTAATACTATTAATTGGTTGTATTGTTGAATTTATATAAGCCTTTCTCGTATTGTCAGCGAATAAATTAAGTGGCAGTTTAATTTACTGATTAAATCATTAAATGTATATTGTCCTTACAAAAATGAAGGCTTCCATTTCAGGACAATAGGACACCAAATAATTCGGTTAATAATTCATTGGATCGATACGTGGTTGAATTTATAATGAAAATAAGCATATAGGACAATATATAGAAATTAAATTAATGAAGCTTGTCCCTACAAATTAAATGATTTTTAATTGAGGTATTTTTCCACACTAAAGTGATAAAATGGGCCAAAAGCTTACCCACTCCAATAAATATCAATAATTTCAATGTATTTACTCTAAAAAAAATAAAAAATGAATTTTATTTTATTTTTCATTTATATATCAATATTATTGTACATTTTATTGTATACAAAGTTCTTAAAAATATTTAACGATTCTCAAGGGTAGGCCAGAATAACAATTAATTGCAATTATTATTTCTGATAGAGTAGGCCAAAATTTAGAAATAGTATATATTAATATTTAAAAAAAAACATTTGAGGGTGGGCCATGTTGTGCTGCATCCGCCCCTGAGTTGTGCATGACTTTAACCCATAGTCTCAGGTTCGAGCGATGAGTTGTTGTGGGATAACTTTCTTTGAGGATTAGTCGAGGTATGTATAAATCGGACTGAACACTTCAGTTATTTTAAAAAAAAAAAAAAACAAGTATATATGTTCATCCTCCTCTTAATTAAGTTCACTAATTTAAATTGAAAAATATAGATTATTTTTAGTAGTGGACACATATATTAAATTTACTTTTAATTTTTTATTAATAAATTAGTAGACCCCAATTAATAAATTAATAAATATATAAATATTAATGATGAAAATCTTCTTCACCACCCAAACACAACCAGAATAATATCTTGTAGGGCATAAATATCATGAAGATAATAGTTTTCAAATGATCAATAAATATGAAGAGTTTTAAACTTAAATTGACTAATTAGTCCATCTTTCGTATGGGAGAGTTAATTCTTGTTAACGAGAGGTTAAGTTTTCTTATGATTAATTATTTCATAATCCAGTAATTCGAAAGAGCCCTCGATAAATCCTATAATATTTGGAAAGTAAAGAATAATAACTTTTGACCATGTAGGAGGTCATAAAGTGAGTCGAATCCAAAACCTTATGATAAATAAATCATATTTCTAATCACTCGACTAACCTTTAATGGATACCGATCTCAGATTTCAAATAACAAGTACCATCGGCAACTCCCCACCGAGAGCCTAGAGAAAGTAGTTTCACCTATAGACCATACCCCCCTATGCCAAACCTATTAACTAACATACAAACCCTTATCCGCTCCGAGAGGTATCGAGCGACGAATTCATGTAAGTGATATAGTAGAAAAAGGATTTTATACAAATGAAAGCAAATAAATTCTTACTTAATAACTACAATTATGGATTAGAAATTTGAATCACACTTTATTATTAAAAAATCCAATCAAAGATCAATTAATTACCATTCTTCCTCATGTACAATTGACCAGGGAGGGCACTGGCCCCTCACACCCAATAAATTCTTAATGTTACTTACGGTTTTTTATCTTTTCTTGTTTTTTTATACACTTTGACCCACATGTATACTTTTTTTATACTGTGTCCCCCCAATTTAATGACTTTGTTACACTTACACCCCCACATCTTAAATTCTGGATCTGCCCCCAATCTCACCATCTCCATCCTCTCTCTCTCTGCCTACCAGTCTCCTCCTCAGATATTGCAGAACATCCATTGAAATAACCTGTCCACTTTGTTTCCAAGATCACACAATTTCCTTTAAATTAATATTCCTCACTTACTAATTAACTAAATAATTTACAACCCACATCTTCAGAATTCTTCTCATTTAATTATCATGATCAGCATATATATTCTTTAAACAAACTATAAACAAAACTGAAAAAAAAAACCCTAATACAAAACATCAGAAAAATCTATATAAAATATTACCATGTAATGCTGATAACAAAAAGACCATCTCTTCATCACTGCCATCAAACTCCACCTGGTTTTGGTTCTGCAATTGGTGAAAATCTGCCACCACTTCGTCCGGCAAAACCTTGGTTCTGCAGAGGGGGCACGTCGCCAAGTATTGCTGCAACCATTTGTCCAAACAGTCCTTATGGAATGTGTGGTTGCAATTGAGTTTTCTGACCTTTTCGCCGTCTTCGAAGTCGGATAAACAGACGAGGCATTCGACGGCGGTGGCTTCGTCGACGTGGTGGTGCTGTTGGTTGTGGTGGTGGTGGTGGTGGTTTTTCTTGTAGCTGGTGGTGGGGTTTTGCTCTTCGATGAGTTTGAGGTACTGGGTAGTAGTGATTAAGCGCTTCTTGGTCTTGCAGACGGTGGCGGTGGCGGACCGGAGGAGGATTATGGTTTCGATAATGAGGAGAGTGAAGAAGACGATGGTCATGGTGTAGAGATGAGAGAAGAATCCTGAGAGAGCTGCCATGGCTAAAAGAAGGAGGAAGAAAGAATAAAAATGACAGATAAGATTTAACATAAATTTATTTATATATAGAATTATTTTGTTTCTAATATTCGGATCACAGTCATTGACTGCAATTAAGATTTGCTGTCACAATTAAATATTAAAAAAAGCTAAAATTTCAGTAAAAAATAAATTTATCAGTAAAAAATAAATTTATCACTTTTCCAACTTTTATTTATGTCGTTATATAAAATTTATCGAGATTATGCTTATATAATATTATATTTGACGGTAAAAGTATCATTTCAATCAAGTATTTAAATTTGATCCAAATAAATTTAATATTAAGAATTTATCATTTCAATTAAATGAGATGAATTAAACAATATTTAAATTTGATCTTGATAAAATTTAATATCATGAATTCTAAATTATTCCTTACGGTATTTCTGGTAAAATTGATGGATAATATATTTTAATAGATATGTCTTATTGGGCAAAGGTTGTCGGAATATTATTATTATTATTAAGAAGACACATTTTATTTGGGTCCGATTATATCATCTTAAAATCTCGAATTAAATTAAGATTAAAATTTTTAAAATCCATTTTTATCTTTGATTCAACGAATTTCATAATAAAATTAATCTTACAACCACCTTAGAAAAATAAGCCTTTTTGTTTTATTAATTTTTAGCCGCTTATTTTGAATTTATTGCACATATGATCCACTAAAGGTTGAGTCAACTGGATAAAGTTAAATCCAAAGACAAAATAATCCTCGTCATGCTTCACTTGCGTGATTGAATAAACTTAGAAATAAATCATATATTAATTTCGGTGAATTACTCGAAACTCCTTGAGGTCATACCGTATAACTTAAAAGCCCGATTATTTGGGAAATCACTCTAACCTCTCCTCTTGTTTAGCTGACGTTAGGGTTTTTGTTTCGTTTCGTTTCGTTTAGCGGCCGCTTAAAAGACGGTGGTGGTTGTGTGGTGGTGTAGGAAGGTGGGGGCAGTTGTGTTGTGGCGGAAGGAAGAAGTTGGGGGCAATGCTACTACGAAATGACCAGCATGATGTGTTTTGTGTTAAGAGTTAAAATGTGGTGCTTTTGTGTGATATTGAACATTTTTTTTTTTTTTCTTTTTTTGCCTCCCATATGTTAAAACTAACGAAAAAAACGCTAAAATCAGCTAAAACAATTGGCCCAAACAAATTTCAAGTGAAAAAAAAAAATAGGTCTAATCTAGCCTAACCTTTCGAATGGAATTGAATAATCAACCTTCATCAATTTTTTTTTTTTTTTAATAATTGAGATATTTGGATTAGTTTACACGTACCTCAACTAATCATCAGGAAAAACTATCTTACAGCAAGCCATCCATTGCTGCGGCCTCTCAAGTAAATCATGAACAAATATACTACTTTTGCGTTGAACAAAAAATCAAATCTGAGACTGTGGATTGGGCTATTTGCATGTTTATTAATCTTTCTTATGACAACATAAAAGTTATAGATATAAAACTCCTGAACCCACAGCATTTTCTTAAAATTTCCAGAGAATTTCTCTTTAATTTTTAAAACTTATGAAAAACCTTTTTTTGATTTGGGTTCCATTGCATTTTTATAGATCTTATAATAATTTTAGTATTAATAGTCATGTATGGGTGAGCTTTTTCTTTTAATTTATTTTTAATTTATTTTTACTAATTAATAATGATAAATTTGTATTTTATTTTAGGTAAAATCAGATTATGAAAGGGTATCAAGTTTTTTAATAAATTGCAATTACCTTTATAGAGTTCAGGTGAAAAGTAGGTGAGATTAGCATTTTTCTTTTCTTTTGTATTACAAATGGGCTTCTACAATTTTGATTGGACCTGGAGATGAGTCCAAAATTGGTGGGCCGGATGGGCCCAAAATTGACTTTATTTACTTTTATGTCTTTTCTTTTTCACAATTTCACTTTCATCGGTAACTTTTAAAATTAAAATTTTATAATAACAATAACAATAATAGTAATAATAATAATAATTATTATTATTTTGTAATTGACAGCTTCATGGAGGTTAATGCTATCCTTTTCATTCATTAATTAGTTTTAATATACTGCAAAAAAGCCTTAATTGGAATGAACGTATCATATTATTTTTACGTTCTTTTAGGATCATATCATACGTGATACCATATATATGAATTTGTACTTAACAAGATTTTACTTGATTTACATATGGATGACATGATATTCATTCTTTTTTTGTTTCTTATTTTGTGTTGTGTTACAGAAAACTATCTCCTTAAAAACAACATTTTTAGTATAATTTATACTTTTTTATTTACAAGAATAAAGAAACCGGTCTTGAGACGTTGATATTATCAAATTTTTTTTTTTTGTAGCATTCCGCGCGTATTCTTATGAAACTCGCTAAGATAACCTTTATGTAAATAAAAACATTTTCAATATGGTTTTACTAGTACAAACCATGATTAGAACCACAACACACGTTTTTTTTAATAAAAACTTATGAAAAATGACTTGGGCACATTGAATTTTTTGATTTAATTATTATCACTTTTTAATTTTTTTTGTTCAATAATTAAATTATGGAATTGGACAAAGTATAATGGCTGGGCCTGGTTACCCACCAACTTCACTTGGATTATTAGTACCATTAAGTTAGGGCTTATCTTCTCCCGAGGGCCAGGCTTAATCACTTTTTGTTTTTTGCAATTTGCTCCCATCTAATCGTTGTAGTCAATAGACAGAAAAAGTAATGCTACACCCACAACATCTTCTCACAAACTTTCTTTTACAATTTTGACATGGCAGTTCACAATTGGTCAGTTACAATTTATCAGGTGGGACCCATTACGAGTTGTCACGTTGGGTTTGTGAAAAGAAATTTGTAAGAATAGGGTGTGGGTGTAACACACATTTTTATAATAAAATAACTTATGAAAAATGACTTGGGCACATTGAATTTTTTGATTTAATTATTATCACTTTTATTTTTTTTGTTCAATAATTGAATTATGGACAAAGTATAATGGCTGGGCCTGGTTTCCCACCAACTGCACTTGGATTATAGTACCACTAAGTTAGGGCTTATCTTCTCCTAGAGGGCCAGGCTAAATCAACTTTTTGTTTTTTGCATTTGCTTCCATCTAATCGTTGTAGTCAATAAACAGAAAAAGTAATGCTACACCCACAACCTCTTCTCATAAACTTTCTCTTACAATCTTGACATGACAGTTCGCAATTGGTCAGTTGTAATTTATCAGGTGAGACCCTTACGCGTTACCACGTTGGGGTTGTGAAAAGAAATTTGTAAGAATAGGGTGTGGGTGTAACATTATCTAAAGTCGGACTCTCTTGTGAACGTCTAGATTTCTTTTATAGAAGTCGCACTTCAATGCATGAGTTAGAGTTATTGATTATAGAATGTTGTGAATTAATTGAATGCAAAATTGGGATCCCGACTATGTATACATAGAATTGACGATCTTCAGAATAACACTTCAAATTATTAGATTAACCTTTTGCTTTGGATCTCTAATAATTAACCTTTTGCTTTGGATCTCTAATAATCTAACACTTTCTTCTGGTTGAAGGAAGCTTCTAATCGTCTCCAAAATGCTTTTTTTTTTTTTTTTTTTTTTTTTGGGTATAAGAATGCATAATTTTATTGGCCCCATCACCTTTAATATCATGTTTCCTCAAGCTGCCCAATTGTTTAGGGCAAAACAGTGGTCTTGAATCTCATAGTAAAATTTATCAAATATTGATTATGCTTTTATATTATTATTATTTTGTCCAACTTGTAAAGTAGTAGTGTCACTACCCACCAAAACATGGACGAGCTTATGCTTAATAATTTATTGTTCATGTCGTTTTACCACGTGTTGCTACATCATGCATGCTAAGATTATATATATATATACATATGTGTGTGTGTGCGCGCGCGCGCGCACGCGTGTGTACCTGTCAGAACATGTGTTTACGTGTGTGTGTACCTTACCAGAACATGGATATGCTTATGCTTAATAATTTTATTGTTCATGTCATTTTACCACATGTTGCTACATCATGTATGCTATGATCATTATATATATCTTTGTGTGTGTGCGTGCGTGCGTGCACGTGTATGTGAACCTCTTGAAATTTTTATGTACAGACTAAAAGTGAGTGACTAGACGCTAACTTCTATTTTTGAATTTTGTGAGCTAGTGTTTAGACGCTTATTCTTAATCCATAAAAAAAAAAGTTTCAAGACATTATGTGTGTGTATATAATATCATACAAATAGTTATATAAATAGTTATATTTGTAGTATTACTTGATATCAAACTAATAATGTATATCATATAAATAGTTGTATTGGTAGTATTACTTGATATCAAACTAATAATGTTTGATAACATTATATTTGTAACCCTTATGATGTAAACAAATTTATTAATCAATCTATTATTCATTATTTCAAAAGTGATTATCTAATATTATTAAATAACATAGGAGAAATCCATATCATGTGAGAATCGACGCAAACATATTGTTAGTGGCTCAAAAATAAACCTTTCCAGTGGTTCTTCGAGTTGAAAAGGTTTAATTCTCACCGCCGAAGCCACGGTGGTGTCAAAATTATGTATCCACATCTTTAAATCCAATTTCAACACGATCGAAATCTTTATTGTGATAAAGTATTGACACAATTTTGTGTGAGAAAACAATGTTTGAATATTTTTGAGAAGTTCTTTATTTGAAAAACCATGTCTCGACATAACGTGACGCCATTACTTGAATCCCATGTAACAATAGTCAATTTATGACCTCTCCTACTGTGTTCGGATGAGAAGCCCTTTAACCTTAGGGTTAGTTATATCCAGGGGTCTTATGTAACTGACATATTTTTTTAAGTAACTGAGGTATCTAGACCCATATTAGAGCTTGTCTAGTTCTTTCACTTTCTTCTAATTAAAGCCAGCTTCTAATTATTCTCCAAATTGCCTCTCTGTCCTCTGATTTTTGCCAAAGCGCTTCCCTCCTAATTATATTGAAT